AAGTTACGAACCTGTGGGGAACACGTAAACCCTAGTTACTTTGATTACTTGATTAAAACTCAACATTAAAAGCTGTTAAGTGTCTCTTTCAAGATTGTTAGTTATTTTTGGTCATTAGGAAATACAAACCCCCATTTTATGCTTTTACTTTCTAAGGAAGTCATCAACCGAACAATAGTAATAACAAGTTGAAGTTAAGTCTAGACTATTTTCCTCGTGGGAACAATCCCAACCTCACTAGTTGGGTTATTTACTTGACACGACCGCTTTACTTCTCATTTGAGAAGTAAGTTTGAGCGTATCACTATTCACCACGATTTTGTAAGAATTCTTGAATCTCAAATTGTTTTGGCAGCAGGTGTATGTTTTGTACTTAAGGCAGACGGAAAAGGATGGGAGTGTGAGGAGGGTTTTGATTTTGGGGGCGACTAGGGTTTACAGATAAGAATGAAAGATGGAAAGGAGTTGGTGCAACTAGTGAGAAAAATTAGCTTCTTTAAAAATTATTATTGGATTTTTAATTTTTAATTTCTCACCTATAGTTAAAAAATGATGTGGATTCTATGCGCACTACTAGGATCGAAAATAAGCAGGTGTAAATGCGGAAGCTAGCAATGCAAACTTCGAAAGACCACGAGTAAGAAGACAACGAGAAATATATAAAAATACACAAATATTTAACGTGGTTCGGTCAATCGACCTACGTCCACAAAGGAGATGAGCAATCCACTATAAATATGAGAGTACAAAATACAAAGGGAAACAACTTCAAGTGATAACATATCAAGTTTGTAACCATAAATTCTCCCCCTAACCAAAACTCTCAAATCCTGTAAGACTACATTATGAATGTTGATTAAGTTAGAAGGAACATTCCTCTATCTATAGAGTCCTAGACATTTTCCTACTAGAAAAATGATTAATCAATCCAAAACCTTTTACTAAAAGGAAAACCTATTTATGGTAAGAATTTAAGAAAACTAAAATTCAACAAATCTCCCCCATGGCCTGAATTTCTGACAAAATGAATTTGTCCACCTTTTTTACTTAATCTTCAACAACTTTCTTCTCCTCTCCATAATCTCCTTTGCAAAATTTATGTCTCAACACGGAGAACCTCTCTGAAATAATTTCTCCAACAAAATCTTCATTACTGTCAAAAAGGTTGCGGCTAGAACTACACCCGTCAAGATGAACACCTCCTTCTGACCTGGTTAGATCATCGATTATCGAACCACTAAATCTGACTCCATCATTGAATTTGGCTCTGATACCACTTTTTAGGACCGAAAATAAGCAGGTGTAAACGCGGAAGCTAGCAAAACAAAACTCGAAAGACCACGAGTAAGAAGACAATGAGAAATATTTCAAAAGTCACAAAGATTTAACGTGGTTCAGTCAATCGACCTACGTCCACAAAGGAGATGAGCAATCCACTATAAATATGAGAGTACAAAATACAGAGATAAACAACTTCAACCAATTCACTCAAACTACATGGGAGAATCATACAAGTGATAACGTATTAAGCTTGTGACCCACAAATTCTCCCCCTAACCAAAACTCTCAAAGCCCTTAAGACTACATTGTGAATGTTGATTAAGTTAGAAGGAACATTCCTCTATTTATAGAGTCCTAAACTTTTTCCTATCAGCAAAAGGATTAGTCAATCTAAAATCATTTCCTAAAAGGAAAACCTATTTATGGTAATAAATTTAGGGCAAATAAAACCCAACAAATATCCCCTTGGCCTGAATTTATGACAAAATAAATTTGTCCACCTTCTTTACTTAATCTTCAACAACTTGCTTCTCCTTTCCATAACCTCTTTTGCAAAATTTATGTCTCAACACACAGAACCTCTTCGAAATAATTTCTCCAACAAAATCTTCATTACTGTCACAAAGGTTGCGGCTAAAACTACACTCGTCAAGATGCATTCCTCCTTCTAACCTGGTTCAATCATCGATTATCGAACCACTAAACCTGACTCCATCATTGAATTTGATTATGATACCACTTGTTAGGACAAAAAATAAACAGATGTAAATGTGAAATCTAGCAAGAAAAATCTCGAAAGACCACGAGTAAAGAAGACAACGAGAAATATATCAAAATACACAAAGATTTAACGTGGTTCGGTCAATCGACCTACGTCCACAAAATAGATGAGCAATCCACTATAACTATGAGAATAGAAAATACAGAGGAAAACAACTTCAACCAATTCACTTGGAATAAATGGGAGGTTCACGCAAGTAATAACGTATCAAGCTTGTGACCATAAATTCTCCCCCTAACAAAAACTCTCAAATCCTTTAAGACTGCATTATGGATTTTAGGGCAAATAAAATCCAACACGTACTTGGGTGTATTACACGCACCATCTCCAAATGGAAAAAGGGTTAAAAAATTTGTGTTCCATTAAGTACAAGTGTTCACTCGACAAAGTTATAAGTAAATGAGTTCACTTTACAATCTGATACAAGAATAAGGGTCTATCAGACCATTTTTTCATTGAAGATTAAGGGAGAGACAGGAGAAGACTATGCTACTTTGGACTCAAACAAAATGACGTCTTATCTGAATTGTATATTATGATTATTCTCAAATTGTAAAATGCAATTATATGTAACTTGAGAATTATTTAGAATCTCAGAAATGTAATAAAATTATTGAGATCCAATTTTAGCTACATTAAAAATTCTTGTAATTAATAATGGTTGTAGCAATAATTTTTCTAGCAATGATATTCGTAGTTATGACTAAATCTGTATGTAATTATAAAAATAAGGCGATATATTTTCACTTTTCATTGAAAAAAGAATAGCTACAAATTGTGTGTCATGGCAAAAGTTTGAATTCTTAGCTTTGTGAAAAAATATTTGTGCAAATACTTTAATTCTATAGCTATAAATTATCTAATTTGTAGCTAAATACTAGTATCATTGCCTCAAAATTAAAAATATAAAATAACAACAAATTTGAATTTTTTTCATAGCAAATAAATCAAGACATTTGTCACAAAAAAATATATCGTGTCTACCACGTAAAAATTTCTATAGATTTAATATATTATGGCAAAAGTGTAAACATATTTGCTATAAGTATATCTTCTGTAACAAGAACATTTAGGTATTATAGTTACAACACAAATTTTTAGTAGTTATAAGTATTGGTCCCTAACATTTAGGTATTATAGTTACAACACAAATTTTTAGTAGTTATAAGTATTGGTCCCTTAGCCACATAAAAGTTTGTAGCTAACTTTTAATCACCCTACATCTTGCCACGAATGCTGTGAAAATATATTTTATCACTAAAGCGTTAGCTACAAAAAACTTAGATTTAGCTACAACATATTTTGTAGCTTTAAGTGCATTTTCTTATAGTGATAGCCATCCATAAGTGTCATCACCTACCACCATTACTTTGGACTGTTTTAATTAATTGTCATTACAATTACTAACTGATTTTTTAATAAATTTAAAAACCCAGAATCTTCAGACTCATAAACTTTAAAAACTCAGAATCTTCTAATCTCAGAACGTGAACTTTCCTCCCTAATTTATTAGTATTCTTCCAACAAATTTGTGTATATTTATTAAAAGAGAGTAGTAACACTTTCTTTCTATTATATTAAATCTCCCTCCCTCTCTCACACACATTGGACAATAGACATACAGCTGTCAAGATGAATAATTAAACGTTTTTATGTAATTAATCAATTAATTAGTGGAAGATTGCTTTGTTGTTTCTCCAAGAAAAAGGTGTAAAAGATGATATTCTAATTAAGATGTAAAATATCATCTATTGTTTCATTCAAGTTCAACATACACACCCTTTCTTTACTTCTCTAATTTTCTCCATATTTTTTTTCGTCACAAAAACAAAAAGGAGAGGTGCAAATCATCAATTGATAACAAAAATTAAAAACAATCCATCTTTCAATGAAAGAATTGCTTGGATCTTATCACACTTCAAATTTCAGGTAACTCAATTCTTCTTCTTTTTTATTTAATATAATAATTGATTTCTTCCACAAATTAATGAGAATATGTAATACTCATTTAGCTTCATATATTGGTATGAAATATTGTTCCTTTTTTTGTTTTCTCAATGCAATTATTTCTACATTTTTGTTTGTCATCTCATGAATCTAGTATTCTTTTTATTATTTTCAATATACATTTTGAATAATTTGAAAAGTCTTGTAAATCTTTTAAATATGAATCGATGATATTATTGCACAAAAAGAAAACAAAGAATTTTAGCTTTGGATGTGATGGCTATGAGTGTATGAGTGTAATTTTATTTTTTTGATATATTTTGGCATCTTTTGCGTCATATACAAGTTTTATCCAATGCTTTTATTTTGAAGACTAATAAAAGCTTTTTTTAGTTTCTATATCAATAGTTTCCCCATTATTTCAAATTTATTATAACGTGATTGATGCCAATTAAGGGAAAAGACAAAAACACCATCTAAATGTATGACGGATGGGAAGTATTTCTACATTTTTAATTAAAATTTTCAATTTTTAATTTTGACAATAATGTCTTCTTTAGTATCCAACTCTTAATTACCTCCAAAAATTTTTAATAAATTTAAAATTAATTGAACATTAAGAAAATATCAAACATCAAATAGATAAAATAAGATTCAACCAAGTATACGAGAAAAGGCATCCAAGTATGCACTAGGAAAAAAGATGATTAACTTTATATTGGATACTAATTAATTGGTGTTATTTTTAGATGAGATTCTTGCAGCAATTTTTGACTTGATCTTTTGAAAGACATACATATTGTTTACCACATAAAGTAATAAATCTTTGAACCACTTGATATGGTATAAATTTCAAAGGCAAGCTAATAAGGATTTTTTTAAAATTAAAAATGTGGAAATGGGAATAAACAATAATATTATTTACAATGATTAAAAAAAAAAGATAAAAAAAATTAGAAGTGACAATGGTGGAACAATATTCGGCCCAGTGGAGTATTTAAGATATTCTACTACTACATACATTTTCTAATTAGATTTTTTTCCCCTTAATAAATAGTAATTGTAGTGTCTGGTCTTTAACTGACATGCTAATTTCGTGATATACTCTTCACTTCTCATCAATAACCTGTATCAGATAACTTTATTCATCGAAAATAGAATTGATATATAAGATTCCACTCATTCTAAAAGTCTCTTACTATAAGTAAGTGTTCCATATAAACAAGTTTAGTATGGGTGGTGTGGTGGCTTGAGATACAAGGAAAACATCATCATCATCATATACAAATAAGGTTCATACTCTTGATATTCATATCGCTATAATATATGAAGATGTACGATGGTCTTATTACTATTTTACCCTTAATATCATTTGTAATTTTCAAAATACTCTTTTTGAAACAAAACTCTTATTGACATTCATTTCTCTTAATTTGAATAATATTGTATATTGCAGGAATGGCAACAAGACTCTTATATGCCAAAAATCCAATAGCTAGTAATTTCCCAAACAATTCATACAAAATTGGCAAAATTCAAAATGGATAGAATTATTGAATTGAAGAGAAGTACAGAATCCATAAAGAGGACAATGATGATGCATGAGGATATTTTCAAACAACAGGTACACATATTTATGCATACATTTACTTCTCGTTCAATTTATTTGATACAGATATTTATGCATACATTTACTTCTCGTTCAATTTATTTGATACAGTTTAATTTTACCTTGACGTTTAAGAAATCAGAATGAAAGAATCTTAAAATTTGTTTTGTCAAACAAGTCATAATATTTGTATGACTATTGAAACTTGTGATCTAACATTAACATAACATTTATATTGTTGTAAAATATTCTTATTAACATGATATATAATGAAACAGACTAATAAAGAAATTTATGCCTTATTAAAATGATATACAAATGTTTCATTTTCTAAAACAGCCTAATAAGGAATTTATGCCCAACAAAATTAAGTGGAGGGAGCATTTATTTAAATTGATGTACTTCATTTTTATATTCATTCCCTAATTGGTCCATTAGTGTACCCCTAAGATTAAGGATATATAGAAAGTAGTCTGAGTATTTAATTATTGTAATCCAGTTTGTGACAGATCAAAATCACATGCTTCACAATTTGTCTAGTCAATGACAACCTAATTAATTTCACTTTTTTATGATTAGCTTAACTGCGCATGGATCTATAGAAAGGAAAAGTTGACCAAGTAAAAACAAATGGATTTATACTTAATGATCTTTATCAATATTTAATTAGCGATAATAGTATAATCGCTGTTAATACGTACTTCAATACAATTAACACTTTTTATAATTAAGTGTTCTTAAAGTCATTGGATTCAATGACGATTAACTAATGCTTGTAAAAATTATAGCACTCTTTGTTAATATGTATATTTATTACCGTCGAAAGTTATTTTTTGCTATATTGACAAATAGTATAAATGATCTTTACATTATATGTGTAATTCAACTTGTTCGAGCATGTTTTTTTCTTTTAGGTTGCCATTTAGTTAATGACTTATTATATGAAGTTACCTACAATTATTGTCAATGAAGTAGTATGATTCTCTAATACTGACTGTCAGTGCATATAACTTAAACTTTGATAGGTAAAAGAGCTCCACAAACTATACCATCTTCAAAGGAAACTGATGCTGGATGTGAAGAATGAGATGTCAAAGATAGAGGATGCAAGACACAAATCCATGATCAACAACATGTCTACTTGGCATGAACCTAGAAGAGAAATAGAGTTTAATGGTGTTAATGTTTATGGTTTAGGAGATGATCAACAAAGAGAAACAAGTGGTAGTTGCTCAGGTGAGAACTCAAAAACAATATTAATACCAATTAGAGGATTGAATATTGAAATGGAAGAAAGAAGTTCAACTAGTAATTATGAGGATGAGAAGATGAAAAATAGTAATACTCATAGATGTGATGAGGAAACAAATGTGGAGCTAACACTAAGTATTGGACCTAGCAATAGTAAAAAAAGATTGAAAAGTCATAATAAAGAAAAGGAGATAAGTTTTTCTACTTCAACAAAGTTTGAAGATTGTGGTGATGCTACTTCAAGTGTTATATTCAACAAAGAAAGTGCCCCTCAAGCTTATTGGTTTTCCCAAGATCTTAGTTTAAATAGGAGATCATAGGTTGTATTAACTTCAATTTCATTCTTTTGTAGTTATTATATGGAAGGCTAGTTTGTAATTCCTTTCAAAATCTTCAATGTGCTTTTTTTTTTTTTTGTCAATTTTCATACTTGTATATTTTCACTTTTTTGTGTGTCAATATTTTCATAATAAATAGGTTAGAATATTGTCACACAAGTGGTTGAAAAGTTGTTTGAGAAAGATCTTCAATACTATCATGGCAATTCAAAATGAACTTCTTCAATGTCAACAATAGTACTAGATTTCTAAAAGAGAAAACAAACAAAATCAAGCTTTGAAGTTGGAAGCTAAATAAATAAAATTGTTGTGAAGGTCGAACTAGAGTGTAGAAAAGGAAATTCACTCATAAACAAATTTAGACTAAGTGAAGCAAAATTAGGTATTAAATGATACTAAATACATAATTATGCAACAATATGGATCGAAGTGCAACTTATTTTCATTTGCACTTGGATAATATATATGAAGGCAATTAAGGTCAATGGACATCTTATAAAAACCACTTTTGAGAACTCAATAGAGGTAGTTCATCATTTGAGAATAACATTGCAAATATTTATAAACATAATTTAATTATTTAAAGAGTGAATGAAATTTGTCAAATTGTACATCCAAACAAAATGCCATAACATAGATAGTTGAACAATGATAACTTATCAAATAAATACTTGAATATACATACACTAATAAAGTTGAATAAATAACCTATCACAAAAGAAACTTGCAGTTTGTCACTTTCTAAATGAAAACTACCACTTGCTTAATGAATAATATGCCGTCTTACGATTAGTAAGTTCTATTTCTCGATCGGACTAGCTTATACACCCATATTATCTCAAAAAATGCAGGAACATGATACTGCATCCACCAAGAAAGACTATATAATCTGGACATGTTTGTTCACTCTAAGGATTGCAACGTTTAGAAGGTGTTTGGTTAGGATGTATAAGAATAGTGTTAGATATGATGTATAAGTAATATAGTTGTTAGTTCTGCATGAATTGGTTATGTTAGGATTATTTTTTGTGTACTATTTTGATTTGGTGGATTAAAAATAACATAAATTATATAATTTCTAAACAAATTACCTGTTTACAAAATATCATTCACAAATAACATAGAAATGATGTTGAAAAGGTTTTGAGGAACAATTATCTTAAACCATGCTAATGCACGCATTAAACTAAGCTTAATGACACCGTTAATACCATGATTTCCTATATATTAGTTATACATAGCTGTAAATAAATTAGTCAATTCACGCACTATGGTCTATGTTATTCCCAAAAATGCACACACAAGTATATGTGGTCACATTATTCTGAATAAGATAAAAATCGAACTTCGATTTTTATATCTTAGGACTTCTTATAAATAAATACACTCTTGGGACTGTTAAGTTAAAATGAGGTAAGATCTCATTAACTCTTAATCCTAAAAGTGTCATTTTACCAATGAAATAAAACTTGGACAGCATATCTAAAGACCTCCACCCCCACCCTATTTTTTACATGTTTTATTCAGATCTTAATTATCTTTGAACTTGGCTATTTGATAGTCATGGATTCTACATAAAGGGTGTGTTTGGTAGGAAGAAAAATGTTTTTTTTGAAAAATAAGTTGACTTTTGACTTATTTTTTCGTGTTTGGAGTAAAAAATAATTTTTGGAAATGATTTTTTGTTCGATTTGTGAATTAAAAATATTTTTAAGAAATACTTTTTATTTTTACTAGAATAGAAAATAATTTTGAAATTGAAAATATTTTTTAAAAAACAGAATTAATTTTTTTTGGGGGGTGGGGATGGGTGGGTTGATAGGGGGGTAGGGGTTAAAAAACAAAAATTTGAAGTTAAAAATATTTTTTAAAATAAAATTAATTTTTTTGGGTGGGGAGTGGGAGGTCGAGGTAGGAGTGAAAAAATAAAAATTTGAAGTCGAAAATATTTTTAAAAAAAATTAACTTAAATCAATTTTTTTGGTAGGGGGAGGGAGGGGGGGTGGAGGGTA